TTCGACTAAATGGGAACTTAGACTCCCTTGTTTGTAATATCTATATATAATTTTAACAAATAAACCCCCTTCTTCAAAAGCTCTCTTACTAATGCAGGGTATCATATAGTCGAATACATTTGTACAAATATTCCGTTTGCATTTAGAAAAACTGGCTGTTAATTAAAAAATTTGTTTGAAAATACAAATATTTATTATAAGAAAGTTTTATGATATGTATATATAGTTTTTATTGTTTTATTTTTAAGTCAAATGAAATAAAAACATACAAGTTAGAGTGCTATATTCGTCTGTGCCGATCTTAAATAGCCTATAGGTGAAGTTACTTTTTTTATTAAAACTCATTCAAATAGTAGAACATTTGTACATATTTAAATTGTGAAAACGTATACATGTTTGGTTTCCGTAATGAGGGCACAATCAGTTAGTAAATTCTAAAGAACGATATCAATCTTGGTTAACAAAAATTTCATCGAATTAAGTATCCTACAGTTTGATTACAAGGTTTACATGGACAGAAAGATAGACAGACAGACAGACAGACAGACTGACTGACAGACTGACAGATAGAAATTTTTCAATATTTAATTTGCAAAAGTTTTCTGCACACACAGCCACAAATAAAAACCCTAATTCCGAAAACACAATATATTACGTAGTAATACAGGTATATAGTTTTGACTCAATTGGTATTGGCATACCTTCTTACGATTCACGATTTCCAATGACATTGGATTTTAATAGAATCATTTGATTTATATACCCTACACTTCTATAGTGCAGAGGGTATTATGCGTTTGTTGTTGATGTTTGTAAAACCTAAGAATATTGGTCCTACAGTATACCAATAGGCTTAGAATCATTTTCTGAGTCGAATAAGCTGTGTCCGTCCGTCCACCTGTGTGTCCATGTAAGCATTGTGCGCACGCTACAGGTCGCAAGATAATCACACATAAACTTCTCTTAACCCAAGAAGAAGTTGAAATTGGTCCATTATTTCGCCTAGTCCCCATGCAAGTGAGGTATCTAGACAGTGGCCTCCGATAGCTTAGTGATTAACTAACTAACTAACTAACTAACTAACTAACTAACTAACTAACTAACTAACTACTAACTAACTAACTAACTAACTAACTAACTAACTAACTAACTAACTAACTAACTAACTAACTAACTAACTACTAACTAACTAACTAACTAACTACTAACTAACTAACTAACTAACTAACTAACTACTAACTAACTAACTAACTAACTAACTAACTAACTAACTAACTAACTAACTAACTACTAACTAACTAACTAACTAACTAACTAACTAACTAACTAACTAACTAACTAACTAACTAACTAACTAACTAACTAACTAACTAACTAACTAACTAACTAACTAACTAACTAACTAACTAACTAAGTAACTAACTAACTAACTAACTAACTAACTAACTAACTAACTAACAAACTAGGTTAGGTTAGGTTGATAGGAGGATGTATACTACATCAATCCGAAGAAATACACCTAGGCCACTATCGGGCCTGTTGTGCGCTCCAATTCAAGGAAAAAAAAAAAAAAAAAAAAAAAAAAATTGTTCACTGAATGTATTATTTTTCCTTGTTCAGAAACTCAGTTTCCTGGACGTAATTCCTAAGAATCTTCCAATCGGTGTTGGTTAAGAATGTTATTTCTGGAATAACATCACTTCCAAGATACTTGGATCTAACTTCGACGAATGCCGGACAATGGCAAAGAAAGTGCTCCAGAGTTTCACTGTCCTCTCCACATGCTCTACATTCGTCTGAATTCGCACGTCCATTTTGTATAGATGTGCTCGTAATCCTGTGTGTCCACTGAGAATACGTACCATCATACTAACCTCAGACTTGCTCATTTTGAGAAGATTTCTCGTCTTGCTCTCATCAGGGTCACCCCATAGAATCTTTGTGGTTCTACCCACCGTTTCATTATTCCAAGAGGCCTTATGGGATTCTCTCATCCATATTTTTAATTCAGCTTTTGTTGCGTCGAATGGTTTTGCGTTGTCAGGTTAACTACATCGAGCTCCCTTCCCTTTAAAGCTATTACATTCGCCCTTTCGTTGCCGACTACTCCCGAGTGGCCTGGTACCCATATGATGTGAACCTTACCTCTGGGAGAGTATTCAGTTAAAGCTTTCTTACAATCCAATACAGTCTTAGATTTAATTCTATCACCTGATATCGCACAAATTGCCTTCTGGCTGTCGGTAAATATATTAAGCCCTGTGGGCGCCATATTTATTCTAATCCAATTTACACATTCCGTTATTGCTCGTACTTCTGCCTGGAAGCTTGTGTTATGATTAGGTAAACGGTGGTATATTTCTGTTTCTGGGTCTTCAATATAGAACCCCAGACCCACTTTGTCCCCTAATTTAGAGCCATCCGTGTAGCAACGGATTCCTACTGGTATTTGCTCTAATGTTCCGCTTGACCAAGACATTCTATCTGGGATTAGCGTTTCAAAGTTTCCGACATATTCAGTGTCTGGTATGCGATCAGGCACGTCCGATGAATGTGTATAACCTTCCAATGTGTCCAGTATACATTGATGACGTGTCCTATAACCGTTTTTGGCCAGTTCGCCTAAAGTAAAGAGCCGTTCGGCTGTAAGCGCCGCCTCATATCTTATATATGTTTCAATGGGTGGAATATCTAGCAACGTTTCCAGAGCCTTGGTTGAAGTAGTACACATGGCACCACTTATACCCAAGCAGCATGTACGCTGAACTCCCTGCAGTAGTTTGATATTACACTTTTTGTCCAAAGCACTCCACCAAATTATTGAAGCATAAGCTAGAATTGGTCTAATTACACTTTTATAAAGCCAATTTGTCATAGTAGGACTAAGACCCCATTTCATGCCTATGGTTCTCCTACATATCGCCCAGCACCGATGTGCCTTGTTGATCCTATCCTCTATGTGGTGTCTCCATTTTAATTTCCGGTCAAGTATTACACCTAAGTACTTAACTTTGTCTGTCACCGGTATCTTCTTGCCCAAGAAGCAAGGTTCAGTATATGTAGAAATTTTTGTCTTTCTTGTGAAAAGACAGATTTCCGTCTTCGCCGGGTTAACATTGAGGCCTCTCGGTTGAGCCCAGCTCAAGGCCGTATTCAGAGCCTCCTCAGCTCTTCTACACAAGTAATTTGGATCCTTTCCCTTTAAAAGTATTACGACATCGTCTGCATAGCAGACAGGTCTAAGTCCTTTCTCGGTTAGGGTCCTTAGGAGGCTATTAATCGTGGTGACCCAGAGTAAAGGTGACAAAATGCCACCCTGTGGTATACCGCGAAATACCTTTTTCCTGATAGTTATATCGTACATCTCGCAGCTTATCCATCTGTTCCTTAGCATGTAGTTGATCCAGTTACGGAGCACCCGGTCAACATAAAACTGGTCTAGGGATTGGATAAGGGTATCAGTGTGCACGTTATTGAAAGCGCCTTCGATGTCAATGCATACTGCCAGTGTATACAGTTTGCTATCGAAAGATTCACTTATGTAGTGGACAACTTCATTTAAAGCGGTTTCCACCGATCGTCCCTTTACATAAGCATGCTGCTTATATTTAAGGTCATTGTATGGTATGCTGCTTTTAACCATGCTATCGACTATCCGTTCCAAGGTTTTAAGTAGGAAGGACGTAAGACTTATCGGTCGATAGGACTTAGGTGTCGCATAGCTAGGTTTCCCTGGTTTGGGTATAAATATTACCTTTGCATCCTGCCATTTAACTGGGGTATATGCCAATTTTAAGCATGCAGTGAATATCTGTGACAGATGTACGGAAACCAGTCCCGCCTCCATCTGCAAAAGTGCCGGGAAAATTCCATCCGGCCCTGCAGCTTTATAGGGAGCAAAGCTCTTGATTGCCCCTTTAACCATGTCAGTTGTAATAACTATTTCCGTGTTACCCTCCCCTTCCTCCAATATCGGTTCATCTATGTTATTCGATATACCGGGTGGGAAATGAGAATCCATTAGGAGTTTCATTGTCTCCTCCATATCCTCAAGCCTCCTGCCCGTGTCATCGATCATAGATTCCGGTTGGACATGAGTTTTGGATAGGAATTTTTTTATCTTCGATACGTCATTTACGCTATCTACCTGTTCACAGAAAAGTTTCCAGGAGTCTCGTTTGGCTTTTCGAACGATTTTCTTATATTCACCAAGTTTATTACGATACTCATCCCAGTATACTGCGGTCTTTTTACGCCGTGCCCGGTTAAATAGTTTGCGAAGAGTCTTCCCAAGGTTCCGGATCTCCCCAGTTACCCAGGGTTTTTCCTGGGCAGATCTCCGCTCTCGCAGAGGGCAGCTGTCCTCGAACGATTCAACCAGGGCACTTGTGAACGTTTCCACTTTGGCATCTATATCCTCTTTATTTCGACATTGAAAAGTATCCTGACCTAAACGGTTCTTTAGTAAGGCCCCGAACATTGTCCAATTAGTTTTAGACTTATTCCGAAACTTTATCGGCTTTGGTGGTGGCCTTAGTATTTTGAATCTTATGTACCGATGATCAGAAAAGGAGTGCTCGTCCGAAACTCTCCAATCCTGAATTTCGTTTATAAGCTCTTCTGAACATATAGTTATATCTAATACTTCTTCTCTGATTCTATTGACGAAGGTAGCTTTATTACCTAAGTTCAATGTTATCAAGTCTTTAGTATTAAAGAAATCCATGAGGGCTTGTCCCCTGCGATTGGTGTTTGTACTACCCCAAGCTACATGATGCGAGTTGGCATCACAACCTATTACAATTTTCTTATTTTTCCTTTGTGCCTCTTCAACCAGTTTCATCAGATCCGACGTTGGTGGTAGGGTCGGAGAATCGAAAGGCAGGTAAATAGATGCAAGGAATATGTTGCCTCGACCTTGCTTCAGCACCGTTGCATCCGATGTTGATAATCCTGTTGAGAGGAGAAAACATAAGTTCTTGTGACATAAGATACATGTTCTCGGGCGAGATCCTGTATCAGCGTAGAAAAGTTGGAAATTTACGTGATTTAATCCAGAAACCTTGTTGCGAATCGTCCAAGGTTCCTGGATTAAAGCTATATGTATTTTACCTGTGTTGATTTTAGCCATCAGAGCGTTGGTAGCTGTCTCGCTCCGATGGAGGTTTATTTGGATAACCTCAATCATGGTCATCCATTAAACTGTCTTCCAGCGAGTTGGTGGTCACCTCCTCGCTCTTTGGATTTGACTCCTCCGGATAGCCTGAAGTGGCTATTAATGCAGTGAGTACTGTTGATGGCACTGCGGTGTCCTTATCAGGCATAGGAATAGCAGTATTTTTAATAGACACATTCCCAATTCTGGAGAGCATTGCTGTTCTGTCTTCTGGCGGGTGAGTGATTTCCTCCTCGCTTTTAGGATTTGACTCCTCAACATTGCTAGTACTTGCTAATGATGCTTTGGGTACTGTCTTAGGTGTTTTAGCCCTTTCAATCGGCGCCTTCCCAATTTTGGAAAGGGCAACTACACTTTCTTCTGGCGAGTTAATGGTAAATTCCTCGATTTTAGGATTTGACTCCTCAACGTTATCAGTAGTGGATACTGTGGTCTTAGGTTTTTTAGTGTCCTTTTCGAGGCTTGTTGTAACAGCCCTTCCAATCGGCACCTTCCCAATTTTGAATATGACAGATTTAGAGGCGAAGTAAGCCCTACCTTTATTCTTGGCAAGACTAGCCATGGATTTCTGGTC